TATTATTTGTTTCAGAGGTACAGATCTGTGATTCAACAGTCTTGCATTTTATAATTAGCACTAGTCACCTAAGTGATAGCAGAAAAAAATAACCATCAGACTTCCGTGGCCTGTTTGTCTAGGTCCCTAAGTCAATGAATGCCAAATATACATTTCTTACATCTACATTTCTTAAACCAATGGCTAAATACCGTTATGCCTCATTTGTCTTACAGATTTGAGCAGTGAGGTGAGCCCCTTAAGTGACATCCCCTTCAAACACCAACACTTTCTGATAAAAATGTCTAACATGTTATCCACCCTCTTGCCTTTCAAAAGATAGGTCACAGATCATAACTTTTAATGATTCATTTGTCCTAACAAACAAGCACCACCATACTAAGTGGCAAGATCATTCTCTGTTTCCTTTCTCAAGGTCAGTCTCATTGGTCAGTTGGCCAACATTATACCAGCTGTAAAAACCATCTTCCCACCCTCTGCTATTTTCCTGTCAATGACCTGCTCTGGGTGGGGAGGCTCGTGGCTTTTGAGAATGTGATCTAATTGGGATTTGGGGGAATTGAGTATAAAGACCTTCTGGTCCATCTGTTCCCCTGGGACAACAAGGGGCATTTTTCTTTTATTTCCATTATGCCTCTTGAGTTAAGGAAATATGTTTCCTCTTTATAAAACAAACAAAGAATGCAGTTTTTCTGAGGTGCATAACCATCATCTGAGAAGAACCAGAGCTTTTTTAGTAACTTCCAGGAAAGGAAAAAGAATTAAGGAGGTAATAATGCTGAACCCAAGTGAAGGAGACTTTTTGTAAATAGTTCATCCTCCTAGAAGTGATATGTGTCACTGCAAGATCAGCTGACTTGGCAAGCATCACAATCTTTCTGTTTCCCCACAAGGTAACGGAAAGGGAATTAAAGTCTGGAGGAGCCAACACCCAGGTGACTGAGAAGAACAAGAAGGAATACATCGAGAGGATGGTGAAGTGGCGGGTGGAACGCGGTGTGGTACAGCAGACTGAGGCCCTGGTACGGGGCTTCTATGAGGTGAGACCCAGGCCCGGCTGAGGAAGGCAGGCCGCAGTCAGGGCCCTTATTACCAACACAGCTTGTGGGGGTGGGGGTGGGGGCGGGGAGGAAAGGAGAAGAAGAACCAAGGCAGGCAAAGGGCTCAGCTCCAGTCACCACACTGCAAACTTGGACACACTTGGGACAGATGAAGGAAGGGTCAGAGTTCTCTGGGAAACCTAACTCTGGTGATAGGTGAAAAATGCTCTCACAAAAATGGTGTTACTGTGGCCCGGGTGTGATATGACAACATTCAGTATCTCCTGTCAAGATATGTGCATGCTGTGTTTCCTCTCATTCAGTGAAACAAAAATCAGTGAAGTGAAAGTGTTGGAGGACATTGTCCACTCTTGCTAGATTTCTCTTTTGTTACAGTGCCACGTTGTGCCACATAATCCATACTAAGGTGGTAAATCAAGAGGACAGCTTCCTGTGTACCAAATGTTGACATCCTTAACCTTTTGCAGTTTAGAAACAAGACACTGTAAATGTTTTCTCAGGGCTTGGGTCTTGGAAGGTTTTCTTTCCCTGCCCGTAATGGAGAACAACATGGCTCACTGGCTCATCCACCACTAGTCTGATCAGAGGAGCTGTTCCGTTGTGCCTGATGTATTTGGCAACAAAGCATAAAGTCAGAGCTCAGAGCCCTAGCAAAGGAGGTCTTTCCAGATCTTTGAAGGAGGGAGGAAGGAACTGAGGGGAGGAAGGAAGGGAAATACAGTTGTTTTAATACAGAATGCCCATTTCTAGGAAATAAGTCATGGAAGAGAGGATACCTTTTAAGTGAAATGATAATAGTAAAAGCTCTCAAGTCACTTTAAAGTGTTTGGACCTTTTGCCTTTAAAATGCAATGATACTTGGAAACTTCAATATGACAGAGAAAGTCAAGTCAGATTTGCTCATAACATCATTTTGAGAGGGAGTATCAGAGGTAGTGAAAACCCTGGGGCCTTTTTTGAGTTCCCAGCTCATCAATGGGTTGTGTTTCAGCATGTTTAAGTCACGATTTTGAACTTAAACATGATAGCACATTGGTTAAAAAAAAAAGTTGGAAATGATGGTCAGTTTCCCAGTGTAAAACCACAGAAGTAATAATAAGGAATATAACTTCGATGTGGTTGGACCTGAAGCCTAATCTGTATTTCAGGTCGTAGACTCGAGGCTTGTCTCCGTGTTCGATGCCAGGGAGCTGGAGCTGGTGATAGCTGGCACGGCGGAAATCGACCTCAATGACTGGCGGAATAACACGGAGTACCGGGGAGGTGAGCTCGCAGGCCAGCGCACACACAGTTCACTGTTTTTTAAAGAAATTTATACTGAGGCGAAATGACATAGCGTAACATTAACCGTTTTAAAGTGAACAATGCAGTGGGGTTTGGTACATTCACAGTGTTGTGTCTCCACCACCTCTAGCTGGTTCCAAAACATTGTCCTCACCCCAAAAGGAAGCTCATTACTCATTAAGCAGCTTCCTCCCACTCCTCCCTCCCCAGCCCTGACAACCATCAATCTGCATTCTGTCCCTATGGATTTACCTATTCTGGGTATTTCATGTAAAAAGAGTCCTGTAATATGTGGCCTTTTGGGTCTGGTTTCCTTCATTTAGCCTACTGTTTCAAATTTGTCCATGCTGTAGTATTTCCGTACTTCATTCCTTTTTGTGGTTGAATAATATTCCATTATATATATATATATATATATGTAATATATATGTAATATATATGTAATATAAATATAAAATAATATTCCATTTTATATCTACATCTATAACATATATTCCATCACTTTTTAAAGACTACAAAAAACTTGGCCTTACTTCAATACCTGTGCAAAGTGGCTTCTCATAACAGGCTTTCCTGTAACTTCCATGCTGAATGTTCCTTCAGGTGATCCCCACTGGGATAGTCTCTGGCCTACCTCCATGTAGATGCTTTACTGAGGACCGCCCCCCGGAGGCCAGCTCCTGAGCTCGGTTACATGCTGTCAGGGAAGTGTATCCAACTTCCTGTAGAATTGCAGCCCTGTTCCCTTCAATCTCGGTTTCCCACAACATGGTTCTGTGATTTTTCCAAACTCTATTTCTAAGCCTTCCCACCTATTTACCTTCACGCTGCCAAACTAGTCTTCTTGAAATATTATTTTCACCAGGTCACTTCCTTACCCACAAAACAAACTCCTTATTACTTATAGAAAAGGCTTTTCAAAGTTTTTTTTTTTTAGGCTCAAAACCATTTCTTTGTGTAAAATATTACAGAGAAACCAATCAAAACCACAAAGAGAGAGCGAGGTCCACCACCTCAGCCACCCTCTTCTCCCCAGTGTACTCGGCCTGAGGAGCCTCTGTGGGACCACTGGGCATTTCCTGGCATGGAATGACCACTGCCGGCCTCAGGTGGCAAGTCCCAGTGTCTCTGCCTGGCTGTTACAGCCCAGTAAGGCCCCCAGTGAGCTTCCCTTCGGCCCTCCCCAGACCCCGCTCTGCACTAGTCGGCTTGCTGTTCCCTGTGTATTTCTTCCTCGTTCTTGTTGTTCTCCATCTCTCCTGGCCTCCACTCACACAAAGCCTTCCCAGGCTCAACGCACACCTCACCTCCCACTTTCTACCCCAGCCCACATAGATTTCTCCCATGTCAGAGTGCCTCTTGCATTTGCAGACTGGTGAATCATTTGCTTGGACTGGTTGACCCAACCATGCTCTCCCAGCTGTACGGGGACAGTGGCCCGACTTGTCCTACTGGCCTGAGAGCAGCTACTGGACACCCGGGCATCTTCTGTTCACTGAGCTTGCCGTTTACCTCCAGCCATTCTTAAGTCCTAGACTCGCCCACAGTATGTGGTTACCAAGAGCTAAGACATCAGAACAGAGAAAATACATTGAAATATTGGGTTGATAGAGGGTTTTGTCTCTTATCGTCCCAAGGATCTCTAGCCACACCTTTTCTCATTTACACGAGGCAGGAAAATGGCTGGTGGGGTCCCAGTTGTTCACATAGAAAGCAGACATCTCTGAGGACATCCCTCAGAGCATAAAATCTTTTTATAAAATGTCTATTTTCTAAATCTGCTTTTGCTATAAAACTTGACCTAGTTGCACAGATTGTCTTAGACCTGTGTGCAGGCCATCGTTAGAGAAATTGGCAGACTGACAGCAGCTGTTCAGTTCTCATCACACCTGCGGTATATGTCGCCTCTCCCCCTTCCTCCTCCTCTCTGCACAACCTCCCTGACTCTCCCGCCTTCTGCTCCATTCAGGTTATCACGACGGGCATCTCGTGATCCGCTGGTTCTGGGCCGCCGTGGAGCGCTTCAATAATGAGCAGAGACTGAGATTACTTCAGTTCGTCACGGGAACATCAAGCGTGCCCTATGAAGGTTTTGCAGCCCTCCGAGGAAGCAATGGGCTTCGGCGTTTCTGCATAGAGAAGTGGGGGAAGATTACGTCTCTCCCCAGGTAGGGGCTCCTGCCAGCCTTCAGGAAACCCACCAAAGAGGGCCAGTATACTTTGATATTGGAGCTTGGGTGATGATCCTTTGGGATGGAATTCTTTCCTGCCACCCAAGTTATTGTTATATGAGTTATTGGTCAAAGGCACCAGTGAGGAGTCTCTGGCAGGTGAATTTAGACCATATTCTTAGTGGTTTTTTGATTATTGATGGTATTTAGGCTATAGTGTCATGGCCCATGTGTCACTCGCGGGAAGCTTTCCAATCTGTATGTAGCCCAATTTAACTTGAGGAATGTCTGGCCAGGTAAGAGTGGGAGGAGAGTCTGGAAGCCCAAAGTAACCCTTCCAGCACTGTATTTGTACTTCTCGAGCACATCACTTGATACTCTGTAGGATGGTTGTGCATGTACATGTCACATTTTTCCTACTATGTTTTAAAACATGTGAGGACAAGACCATGAGTATCTCATGTCTCTACAGTGACTTCTATATAGTAAGCTGTCAAGGAGATTATTGTGAGATAAATGCAGTAAAGGAGACACTAGGGATCCAGGCAATTTAACGGAACGAATTCCTTGTGCCATGAGCTCTAACACTTCCCGGGTCCTTCCTAGGCCACTTTGAGCAGCCTTTTCTTGCTCAGTGAAATAAAGAGCACTAAAGAGATACTTCTGTTTAGGTACCACAGTAATAAATACTGCTCAACAACAGGAGAAAAGATTGATCCATATTATTTTCTTCAACTATGATATTTTCTAATTATAAAAGAAGATTCACATTTAATTCAGCTGTTTCCACATGGCCTCCCAGATACTATTGCTAAACCCCAATGGAAGGATTTACTGAACTATGATTTGCATGCAGATCTCCCAGACCTTCCACTGTCCTGAAGACAAGTCACCTGATGTCAGTGAGCATCAGGAGGCCCAGGAAACAGAGTGCATGCCCAGCTGGTCAATAACAGCCTAAAGCCTTGACATAATTTTCAGCCCTGGCTTCACCCACTTGTTCAGCAGACCCTCAGTGCTCATTCGCATGGGTCTGCTGATAGCTGAGCCTACTGAATTAAATCTGGCAAGAAAATAAAGCTAAAAAAGGCAAGATTTCCATTTGTCTAGTTTAATGATAGATTTGGAAGATGAGGTCATTTGGAAACAGTCTGTTTTTATTTTAGATAAATGAGTTTGCATCACCATTTGATGATAGCCCGCCCCTCCCCCCAGCATCATGTGCACCCTGAAGAGTGGCTAAGACACAACCATCTACCTTCCCAGAGGAGTTTATAATCTAGGGAGGAACACAGCCCAAAAGTAATAAATCACAACACGAGGTGGAATCAGAGGAGCACTGAGAAAGGAAGGTAAAAGGAACGTGTCGTGAAGATATAGAATACAGACCAAATCCCCATTGAGTTGGGAAGAGGAGATGGCACAAGAAGATGGCACTTAGGTGAGCATTGAGGGTCAATGAATGAGTAGAGGGGAATTCCAAGCTGAAGCAGGAAGGATTGCTGAACCAGCGTGGAGAACAAGATATCCAAAGTGATACTCATAAGGGATGAGATTGAGAAAGATAGTTTGGTGGGTCACAGGGGGAAGACTCTGCTGAGGAGTCTCTGTTTTATTCATTAGGAAATGGAAATAGGAATTGTTTTTGTCATTTGGGGGCCACAGATTGAGTCTAATTACAAATTTCCTTTGAGAAGCTTTGAAATGTACATTAACATTATTAACCCACATAAAGAGCTTATAAGATAGACATTGGGCTTATAATTGGGCTATTCACATCTGGGCCAAGGCATCCCTAAAAATGTTGCCATTCTGCAAACCCCAGAGAGGATTCCTTGGGGAGGCAGAGCGTTAGGCCAAGAAGGTCCCAAGAAGCAAGTGCTGAGATGCCTCTGGGAGGACAGTGAAAATGACCCTCTGGAGAGTAACCCCTAACTAGTCTTCCTTGTACATGTTCTGAAGATCCAAGAACCTAAAAAGGGTCACCAATGTGTGCAGAGAAAGAAGTAACTTCTGACTTCCAGGAACAGAAATTTGGGTAGATGTAGCCAGACCACGTGGCAGATGGCAGGAAGTCCAGAGGCTAGCAGGGGCACCAAACAGACACAGGATGACCCAGGACTTCCCAGAGAATGTGAGCCCACTGCACACTGCCCACACTGGGAGGAGAGGTGGTCTGGAACTGCTCTGTTCTCAGATCTTCCCCTGTAGAGAGGCAACTGGCTTCCCAGATGAGAGTGCCAAATAGTGTCACAACCAAACCTGAATCATAGCCCAGGCTAAATAAAACCTTTACATCAATTCAAGTCCTTGAATTGTAGGCGGGTTAGGAAGGAGGACTTTGAGAGTAGTGGTTTCCAGGATGTAATTTTGCAGTGTCTGGTAAAGAAAGTTCAGTATCAGATGGGTGGGATAGTCACTGGGGTTGAGGTCAAGGAGCTGGCAGGTTAGGGCATCCCTGTGGACTCAGATACTACACAGTCTGGTGAGAACACCTGAAATGGGAAAGATTTAAGCAATGTACCAGAGATTTTAATAAATGTAATTAGCTGGAAGGTCAGAAGGTATGGAAGATAGATCTAGATCACTGATTTGCAAACTTTTTAACCATAGGCTACAGAAAGAAATACCTTTTACATAACATTACAACCCAGTACAAGCATATCTACTTGTGTGTGTGTGTGTGTGTGTGTGTGTGCACGCACGCGTGTGTGGTGTGTGTGTCTGAAATACAAGTTCCTCAAAACAACACTTTACCTTCTTGCCTGAAGATGACATGCCGTATCTTCTAATCTATCCTATTTGATTGAAATAAAATGTCAGATAAAACCTGTAATTATGGGGGAAAATATCTAAATGGCACGAGATTCAAAGGAACAGAATTTTTTAAACATTTGATTCCTTCTTATTTTTTTATTTATTTATTCATTTTTATTGAAGTATATTTGACACAGGATGTTACATTAGTTTCGGGTGTACAGCATAGTGATTCCCCAAGTCTATAAGTTGTGCTGTGCTCACCATGAGTGTGGCTACCATCTACAACACTCTGATGATGTCATTGACTACATTCCTTGGATTGTGCCTTTTATTATTGTGACATATTCATTCCATAACTGGAAGTCTGTACCTCCCACTCCCCTTCACCCATTTTGCCCATCCTCCCACCCTCTCCTCTCTGGCCACCACCAGTTTGTTTTCTGTATTTATGGGTCTGTTTCTGCTTTTTGTTTGTTTGCTTTGTTTTATTTTTTAGATTACACATATAAGTGAAATCATTTGGTATTTGTCTTTCTTTGTCAGACTTATTTCACTTAACATAATACCCTCCAGGTATTTGTTGTCACAAATGGCAAGATCTCATCCTTTTTTTATGGCTGAGTAAAAGGAACAGAAGTTTTTGATCAAAGATTGACAAGTAATGATCTAGAATTGGCAGTGGGGCATGAGCAGAGTGCTCATCCACATCACAGAATGTGGCAGAGTGATCATTGGCCATCTCTACTCATGGGGACTAAGAAAGGATGCTAGGACGTGTAGGCGATGTCCAGAAAGGAAGAGTGGGAGAGTTTCCTTACTATGGAACAAGGACTGGGGAGGGGAGAGAGGAGAGGCTCCAAAGGAAAGAAAAGCATGGAAGCTAGTCAGAGTAGACACAGCACAAGACAGCATGGAGAGGAGAGAAACTTAGGGTTTACATTTGGAGTAAGGACCAGGGATTACAGAACTATGAGTCATGGGCAGGTTAGCATAAAAGTTGCAAACAGAATTCTAACAACATGCTTCACTGCAGATGGAAACTGAGCCCAAGCCCAGGCGGAGGGGGAGGCCTGGTTAAGCTGGGCAGTTGGCTTACTCTATAGGGACGGCTCTCAAGGGGGATGGGAGAGGTGATTTTACCCCCTACTGGACATTCAGCAATGTCTGGAGACATTTCTGGTTGTGGGGGAGAGGATGCTATTGGCATCCAGCCGGTAGAGGCCAAAGATGCTTCTAAACACACAGGACAGCCCCTCACAACAGAGAATTAGTAAGTTTAAAATGTTAGTAGTGCCAGGGTGAGAAACCTTGCCCTGTGGACCATAAGGCTACAATGGAGGCTTCGGGGAGCCATTGACAGTTCAGAAGAGAGACTGACAACCACTGAGAAGCCATAGAAAAGCCACGGGGAGAGAGATGTTCAAGAAGAAAAGATGCCAAAGGCTCTTAAAGAGCTTGAGGAGGTGGGGATAGAGAATTGGTCCCTGGATTTGGGGATCAAGAGGTTCTTGAGAAAGTTGAAAAAGAGTAGGTTCAGTAGTGACGAGAGTGAGAACCATCTATAGAGTGAGGCTGTGGTTGGGCAATGGAAGAAGATGGCATGAACAGAGGACAGGACTTGTAAAACTGGCCTCATAGCTCGCTGAGCAACCAGCAGCAGAGAGCAGTGATTTGTTTGCTTTTAGTAGTGTTGTTTGCTTTTGACCAGGCTTAAAGTGGTCTCTTCTGGGGAGAAGCATACTCTCTTTGGCATTGGCTACCATTTTAATCAATAACTTGGAAAAAAATCAAGGAGACAGGGAGATCAATCATGCAGATGATACAAATTAGAAGGGCAAATCATACAGTGATTGACACACTCTAAATCCCGAATTATCTCAAAATGCTGGAATCCTAGATTAACACCAACAGAGTGAAAATTGACCTGGCATGATTGAAAAGATCCACATGGAGTTCCAAAAAAAATCAATTGCACAAATAGGAGATCAGGGTGATTCATTTGCCAGTAGTTTCTGTGAAAAAGGCTGAGGGTCTTGAGTCCCCACAGGTGTGACACAGTTCCTGCAGTCACAACTGCAATCGTGGTTGCATCAGGAGAATCTTATACAATCATGGTTGCATCACAGATGACAAAAGGCATTTATGTGTATTCTAACATTGGCCCTCACAACAAACCCCTGAGGTACACAGAACATATATTAATACCCACATTTTACAGGTGAGAAAACTGAGGCTCAGAAAGACTAACTGACTTTCCCAAGTTGATAAAGCTAATAAGTGGCTAGACTGGGATCAGATTAGAGGTCTTCCAGACCCTGGTTTTGTGCTTTCTCCACCACCCCAATGCACCCTGGAAGACTGGGCCCAGTGCCCAAGGAGGAAAGTAAGCAGGCACTCTGAGCTGTCAGAACCACACCTGAGGACTGCAAGCATTTAAGAATGCTAAATTGAATCATGATTTGATTGTGTTCGTTCATTCTAGTTTACAAACTAGAATCTATTTTAGAGAGTTAACCAAAGCTAGTGATAAATACAGCAAAAGCAAAATAAAGAAACTCTGGGTGTTCACACGAGGTCTTGAAGGGGTGCCATTTGCTAATGCTTTCAGATTTTTCCCAGAAATCACCTTTTACAGAATTCATTTGGTTTGCAAATATGGGATTTTTTGCTAACATTTCCACTCATGAGTGCCAGTTAAAAAATAAACGAAGACAATGATGTCTGCTCATATCCCGTGCCTAACTAATTCAGCTAGGTTCAAAAGCATACTTGGGATTTTCCTGCCCCACTTAACATAGCTAGCCAGAGCCCAAAGTATGTCCTAGTTTTAATCTTTCTGGACACTGTAATTGTCATCCTACTCATTTTACTGAGGGCTCTTCCACTTTTACTCAAATGAGTTTAGGTAAAATATTTTAATTATTTTCTTGTGAAGTCAACATAGGCCTACTGGAATCTTAGGTCATAATCTGAGACCTCTACTAATCTTGGTCTATTTTTATGCTTCTTCTCAGTTAAGTCCTTGAGGCCTAAGGCCAGATGCACTACTATCCTGTGCCCACCATTGGAGCTTGTGAGGGGAGGAGTTTGGGGGGTAGTTTCCCAAGGACAATGAGGGAGCTGTGACCAGGAAAAGGAGGAATGGGTATTGAGAGGCAAACACAACAGTATCCTCCCCCTGAGCATTGCATCAGCCTCATCAGGAACTCCGAAAACAAAGGTATAAATAATATACAACTTCCCTGGGGATCTTATAATCAGAAGAACTCAGTATCCCAAATGAAATTCAAATGAAGGGAGAATGGTTTCTTTGGTTAGAGTTTTGTTTATTTGTTTGTATATATACTTGTTTTGTGATATTTTATCTTCTTCTCTTTTTTTTTTATTATTTTATTTCATTTCATTTTAATGTGCCCTTTTTTGTGCTGGTCGGCCTTTCAAAACACCACTGCAACACACCACCCCTTCTAGGAAGCAAAAGGCGTTAAGTTAACCTTGAGCTGCACCCATCCCCCATCCTCCCTACTTTGCTATAGTCCTTGGCCTCAACCAGAGATTCCATAAAAACAAAGAACATCCGACAGGGAGAAACTAGTCAGGTGATTTGAAGTTCCACAGGAGGAACCTGTTCTGGGCCTTTTGGGCTCACCACTGAGCCCTCTACAAGTGATGCAGGATCTGGTCCTGGCGTGTGCCTTAGAGCAAGGTGGGGGAACCCATTCCTTATCTCAACCAGGTACTGGCTTGCGTGGCACCAAGGGTTGAATGAAGGATATGGCAAGTAAGGCAGAACCCAGGGCACGGGGATGCTCCAGGCAACCAGGGAAGACTATTCCACAGGCTCAGCTGTCCTTGGAAATGCAACATTCTGGTGTCGGGTTAGCTGTGTCTCACTGAAAACAGAAGAGTTAGACTGTCCCCAGGGCTCCCCTGACTTGACAGAGCTTTGGATCTCAAAATTCCAGGGCATCTCGTGGTACCTGTACATCAATGTACATGGTTCACTGTGGCCCAGAAATCAGAGCTGGACAAAGAGAATTGGGAATATGATCTTCTAATAATAATTATGTTTCTGCCTCCTTCACGGATCACCTCCAAGTTCATAGGTCAATTGCAGGATAAAGCTGATACCATAGAGTCGCTGACTGATTCGCTTAGTACCGTTCTACATTAGTGTGGTTTGCTTATAAACACAAACCATCTGTTTCCAGGTATCCTACTCCCTCAACTGGTTTATTGGTGTCTAGAAGACTCTTGTCCTTAGTTGCAAGGCTTTATGGTGGCCCAAAATCATGGTTGTGCTCACTTTTTATTTACTTTTGCTTCATAGCTTCAGACTGATCACAGACACATACAAACCAGTTGTACCTTTGAAACAAACACCTTCACCAGTCTTTTTTCCCCATTCAGGGCACACACATGCTTCAACCGATTGGATCTTCCACCTTATCCCTCATACTCCATGTTGTATGAGAAGCTGCTAACAGCAGTAGAAGAAACCAGCACCTTTGGACTTGAATGAGGAAATGGAAACTCACCTGACATTTTCCTGGCAGTCACATCACCCTTTCCGGGATGATCCCCGTGCCCTTTCCCTGAATCAACTCTCCTTTGATTTTGGTATTCCATGATTTTTATTTTCAAACCAAATCAGGATTGACAAAAGCTGTGCATGAAGAACTGCCTTCTTCTGAGATCCAACCTTCAGGCTTATCTCCTCTATTCTCGATGAACTGCCAGCCTGTATGCAATATTAAACAACAGCTGTCTCAAGGTCTGTGTGTATCTCCACATACCTCCATTACTAACGAGGAAATAGGAATGCAAGTTATGCTACACTTGACCAAATGGTAATAAAAGTTTACTTCCATTTATATAATTTTAGGGAAATTGGAGCATTAAGCATTCCGAGCTTTTATACGCCCATGTCTTCTGAGCAGAACCACCATTTTTTATAATTTCTAACAACCAACTCCAGGCCTAGGAGCCAACCAACAATTTCTTTTCCTCCCACTCTCCCTTTTCTCATGCATACCATCCATCCAAAAACAGCAGTAGCAAAGCTGAAATTTTTATACATTCAACTCATGAGTCATACGTGGCCTCAGTCCCATCCGCTGGAACTAGCCTAGACATATGGTGCAAATATTACACTTTCCAACAAATAACAACACCAAGAAAAACGCCTCCTGCCGATGCAACACAGTGCATCTCAAGGGTTGTGGGGATTGTTGCTCAACATGAGTTTAGAGAAGTCTAGGAGGGGCACGCCCCTCGTGAACACTCACCGCACAAGAAGCAAAAACTTGTGCACACGAAGGAGCTCTCATTAAGTAGCATAAAGGATCAGGCTTCTACCCCCACTGTGTTGTGTAGAATGTGATGAAGCAAGCAGGAGAGAGGGAAGAAGGCCATATTAGGTTGGTTTGAATACCTGAGTTCTGTACCGTTTTGTTTTGCTTTGCTTTGTTCGGTCAAGCTACATTTCTCCTTCACGAGGGAAAAAAAATGTATAGATTATCTCATGACTTTTGTTAAAGGTGATTGGCAAACAAACTCTTGTTTTAACTTTGATATTGTTTTTTTCATGCCACTTTCTTTTTTTCTTTTCTTTATTGTGTGTTCGAATTCCTTCACATTTGATGGTCCACAGGGACACGTCAAATGAGAAGCTGCAGAGAGTGATGGTGCTTGTTTGGGGTCAAGGGCAATATAATACTCCTTCTTCACCCACAGCGATCCTCCTGGAGCAGACACCTAACACCCCAAAGGCACGCTGATTTGTCAAAATAGATCTCCAGTTTCTTTTAGCACTCAGTAAAGAGATATCTCGGAAAGCTTAGTGTTTTCAGAAAACCAGTTGCAGGCTCCAAAGACAGCCTAACCTCTTGATTACATTTGGAATAAGCCCAAACACAATGGTCATTTCTATTTTTCTAACCTTGTTCTCCCTGTTGTCTGAAATGTGTCATAAGTGAAAGTGTTTTTCTTCACTGGGAAAAGAAGAGCTAAAGGGGCCCCCACACTGTTGAGATGTCACATTGTTACTTCCAATATATTAAACAAGGGGGAAATGTGAGAAATGTAAGACACAGTTAATCTGACAGGAAGCCATGCCTTGTGCTCATTGTATCAGTGTGTGTCCGGGCACTGCGTTGTGTTTCCTGGGCTCCAAAATGAAACTTCTTTTAGTAGGAATTATTTATAATGCCCAGCACCCCTTGCGGCTGTGTGTCTATTGTCAATCAGGAAATAATGTTACAGAAATTTAGCTTTATATTGTTGTCTAAAAAGAATATTTACCAAGATAAGACTGAATGTATAGGTTGCATAATATAAATTTGAGGGATCTGTAAAATTCAGTTCACATTTCAGTATCTGAAAAGTTATGGGTTCCAATGGAGCTATTATTTATAAAATCAGAGCATAAGGATAATGCAAATCATTTCACCATTTTACCTCTTTGAACAGCATCTCTAGTATAGGGATCGTCTTTCATTTTTAGAACTTGGTGTTCTCCATGTGTAAATACTCATTAATTCAAGCACTCGATTCTTTTTTTAGTACTTATCTTATTTGTTAGGCATTGGCAAGGGAGGAAGATGTTCAAAAGACAGAACTTGCTCCTGGGGAGCTTTGCAATTTACACAAATATCTAATTAACATATTAATTAGATTACTTGATATCTATTCTACCCATACACAGAAGGAACAAGGTATCCTAGAAAATATATAGAGATAGATATCTTGGTCATAAAGGTACTGGTTTTTCAACTAACTTTTCCTTCTTCCTATTCCCCCCACCACCCCCCCACCTCAATGCCCTGACTCTAAATGTATCTAAATGTATCTCACAAGCATTGCAGGACCAGTATTTCGTAAAAGTGTAAAATTCCATAAAGAAGTACTGATGTCAAAGTCAGCTGAAAGGATGCAAAGCTTGCTTAACAGGGTTCCAGATTCTATTACACCTTGCACAGAATCCTATAGGAAGGTAAACGAAGAGAAAAGGAGTACATACAGTTGTTACTGAAAGATCCTATGATTTCTTTATTTTCCAAGTGACGTTTCCTTAGCTATTATTCCCTAATATATGAGGCTGGAATACGTGGAAATTATGTGTCTCTGTGTGTGTATAATTATGCTATTGATTCCACCAGCTGTAGGTATAAACGTCCTCCAATCAGATGACATAATGAGTGAGGCAGATCTGTTTGTTACCATTTGTATTTAATTTAAAGTATGAGTTTTCTCCATGGAGGCATATTATAATATTAGTCACTTACAAACCACAATTCCCCTTAAACAAGACCTTTTAGAGCTAGTTCCGGTAAAACAAGAACAGTAAGTTTGTTCCCCTTAATTGGGGAACAAACAAGAACAGTAAGTAAGAGAAAAGTTACATTTCAAGTAGAAAAATACTTTAAAATGCTATGAAGTATTAGAATAATTTCATGGATATGACATTTTATTCGATCATATGAAGATGATAATCCTAAAAATAGAAATCGCCTCTGCTGGGTCAGGAGTCCTTTGTAACTTCCTGTGTATGTAAGTTGGCAGCAGTTGTGAGAACTTTTTACTACTGTCACCAATGTAGCATAATTGTTTGAAGGACGATGAGGAAATTAAGAAAAAGAGAAAAAGGATCCTTTGGCAGACTTCTAAATCTTTCTTTCTCTTTAATACATGATTTTATGTCCATTAATGGTAAGTACCTTGTGTGGCAAGTCGAAAAGCCAGACTTTCCAGAACAGATCTAATGTTACGTCTACGGTATTTGTCAGTCCATGTGTCCAAAATTTGGGTTCAAAAAATTTCTCAATTGCCACAAGTGTTTTCCCAGTCAAGATGAAACACTTTCAAATGAAAGTAGTTAGAACTTTACATGAAAAATGTGGTGCTTTATTATTATTATTATTATTATTATGTACTTCAGTGTTCATTATTAAAACTACTGCAATACTATATCATAAAAATCTGGGATGGATATTCTAGCCATCATAAGGTCCAAAAGAGAAAACGTTATTTTCCTGTTAGTGACATGTAGTCCCTTTGTTCTAGTAGGAAAAAAAGGTGCCTAGAGGTAGTATATAGAGTAAATATTGTTCCATTAGCCTACTTCCTGCAGCTTCCAATTTATCTAAGGAAATGTCTATAACGATTTTGTTGAAAGTCTTTGTTCTAGTCAATAGCAGGAGAAGTCCACATTACTGGGCTGATTTTGCTTACATCAACAAGAAAAATGTCACGTGATACTCAGGCCGCGCTTTCTCTTCCATCATACCACCTTCAAGGAATGTCAATAAACTCACTTTGGTATGGCATTGTGTGTGCTCCTTATTGCAAACAGAAGTCTAGGGTAATGCATAACAATTTGTATCATGCCTATATTCTCACTGGATGTAAGCAATAAAACAGCACAGAAGGGGCTCCTGGTTGGCTCAGTCATTAAGCGTCTGCCTTCGGCTCAGGTCATGATCCCAGGGTCCTGGGATCGAGCCCCGCATCCGGCTCCCTGCTCGCGGAAAGCCTGCGTCTCCCTCTCCCCGTCCTCCTGCTTGTGTGCTCTCTCTCACTCTCTCTCTCTCAAATAAATAAATAAAATCTTTAAAAATAAATAAATAAATAAAAAAGAATACCCTCTTCCATATTTGAGAAAAAATTTCTTTTCTTTTTACAACTATAGAGAGTACATTTAAATATGTTCAAGAATGTATGATTTGTTGGGCCCCAAGAGTCACACGGTGGAGCATGTGACTCTTGATCTTGGAGTTGTAAGTTCGAGCCCCGTGTTGGGTGTAGAGAATACTTCAAAATAAAATCTTCAAAAAAAACCCAAAAAGAACATACAATTCACTTAACTGTCTTGCCATGTACTAGGTGAAAGTACGAAATACACTATTCCCTTGTGTGTGACTTCTTTTAGCCCATTCTTTACATTTGCCTCGTAGTAGAGGGTAAATTTGTAAAATAAACACAATCATCTAGCAAGTTTAAGACAATGGAGTAGCCATCTTAAAATTTTTTAAGTTAGATTCTTAACCTAACTCATTACACCACAATAAATTCCACCTGGATTAGAAATATAATACAGCAGACACATAGATGCAGGTCAAAGACATCATAGGCTTTTCCTACTACATGTGTTAGTTAGGATTAGGGTCAGCTGCCTGTGAAGAAATCCAAAATGACCCTGCTGAAATTAACAGTTTATTTTTCTCTCAAATCAAAGTGTAGAGGCAGACAACCCACAGCTGCAGTGCCTACCATGGACACCTGCACTCATGGCCCAACCATCATGTTCATGCCTGAAGCAGCAGGACAAAGGAACAACAGCCCCTCCCTTTAAGGAGGTTCCTGAAAGTGCCATACAACATTCCTACTTACACCTTACTGGCCAGAATGTAGTTACATGGCACACCTAGTTGCAAGTGAAGTTAGGAATTAGTCTTTAACTGGACAGCTGAAAATCAGAGGTTCCAAGGAATGTGGATATTGAGTGGCAATTAGGATGTTAGAATTAGCCAGTATTTTTTTAAATTTTTTATTGTTATGTTAATCACCATACATGACATCATTAGTTTTGTTTTTTTTTTTAAGATTTTATTTATTTATTTGAGAGAGAGAATGAGACAGAGAGAGAGAGCATGAGAGGGGGGAGGATCAGAGGGAGAAGCAGACTCCCTGCCGAGCAGGGAGTCCGATGCGGGACTCGATCCCGGGACTCCAGGATCATGACCTGAGCCAAAGGCAATCGCTTAACCAACTGAGCCACCCAGGCGCCCCGACATCATTAGTTTTTGATGCAGTGTTCCATGATTCATTGTTTGTGCATAACACCCAGTGCTCCATGCGAACGTGCCCTCTTTAATACCCATCATCAGACTAACCCATCCTCCCACCCCCCCTCTCCTCTAGAACCCTCAGTTTGTTTCTCAGAGTCCATCGTCTCTCATGGTTC